TCTGGTGTTTGACCAACATGCTGTGCCTGGAGCCACGTTGGACGCTCAGTTCCACTTTTAGAAGACGCTTACCGGGATAAGACACTGCCTGGCTCTGCTCGAATGGAACAGCTCTTTTGCTACTCTTATACATTCCTGCCTGGTTTGTCCCACAAGGTAAGCCTGTGGAGGAGCCCTTGTGAGGATCTTACACACGCAGCCAGCGGGGACTCCGGGTCTCAGACTCCCAGCCCTCAGACACACTGCCAGGAAGGCAGGCAGCAGACGCTCGCTTGTTTAGACAGTCTCTATTAAACTCAGATGTCTGGAATAGCAAACGAACAGTTTTCTTCCCCCTCTCCTTTCTTTCTTTCCAAACCCTAATCAACTCAAAACATCTAATCGTCTCCAGCTAATTATTACCATTATGGGAAGGTTTGAAAACGCTAATTAGTGTCTCGCATAATAATGAGCAGGAAGCCTCCTTTTTGTTGTCTGACTGCCTAGCAAAACGCCAAGTCATTTTCTGAAAGGGGCTGTTTTTTTTTCCTTGAACAGGAACTGAAACGTAAACGCAACGCCCCGCAGGACGAAACCGCTGTCGCCCCGCTGTTCCTTAAAATCCGTTTACGAGGACAAATACAGCACTTCATGCTGAGTTATGGATTTGTGGTCTGATTGCACACAAAGAACTACTGTGCCACACCACGCCACCATGAGGTGGAGGAAAAGAGGAGCTGTTCTGAGAAATCGGCCTGTTCTGCCCAAGAACACGACCCCAGTTGGCAAACAGATGTTGTTTACAGTTCACAGGGCAACATGGCAAAAGTATTTGCAAGGGACAGCAACAAGATTTAGCCTCTTAAACAATGTTTTTTCCATTTTTTTATTTTGCACCCACTATCGAATTGCAAATTATGTCGTCACACCTTGGTCACAGGGAGAACGACAGGCTTCTCTGACCTGATTTCTGACCTTTTGTGCGAGATCCACAGCACCTCACAGGAGAGTCAGCTCCAGCTGTGGAGCGCTAGTCTGGACCACAGAGCCCAGCCTTCTCTCACAACGAGGAGCTTTTTTTAATAAAGAGAAATAACCTGAACAAGGTGAAGCTTTTTTAAACACGTCTGTGCAGTGCAGTTCCCCCAAGGACAGGCAGAGGGTGCTGCAGCCCATACCTCCACTTTCAGGCAGCTTCCCGCGGTAGATCTTGTCCTCCACCACATCTGTCCAGTAGAGGGTGCTCTGGTTGAGGTGGAAGTCCAGGGCAATGGTGTTGCGCAGGCCGGGGACCAGCACACTGAAATCGCCTTTGTGCAGATCGATGCGGCG